ACCTTGTCAGTCATATAGGTTGCCTAGCAACAATTTTAAAGCAAAATGGCGGATCAACATTTACAAATTTGCTGTTTCTTTTCAATTTTTCGAGTGATTTGTGGTAATTCGAACGCTCAATGTACACATTTTCTGTTTGCTAAAAAGCATATATTTGGTGGCTTTTTGGAACCTGTTTATCCATCCTCTACGGGTTTGTAAACTGTTGGAGAACAAAGATAAACTCAACTTTTATCAATGCAGACGTGCAGAAGCTCCATGTACTGCCCACGAATATTCTAAAATGCTGTCCAAAAATGTGCAGTTTGCAAATTTTTGGAGAATTAACTATCTGGTATATGTGATGAAATAAGGTAGGAATATAGTTCTCGGGAACTGGTTTGTCCTACTTGAACTGTTCTGAAATTTATTCGGTTAAAGGATCGAGTAATTAAATGATGTTTTGGACGTGCAGAGCTCGGATTTATGTACGAAAAATGTTGGAAATTGCTAAAACATATATTTGCAATACTTAATCTATATATAAATCAGCCATCTTGAATAATGAATGAGGAAGTACATTGCGTACACTGTTAATTTCGAGGAGTCAAATTGACTCCAAAAGTGGAGTAAATAAAAAAGGTACAGAACGACTCCTTTTTTGGAGTAAATTTTACTCCTTTATTTACTCCATTTTTGGTGTAAATTTTACTCCATAAGTAGAGTTGTTTTTACTCCTCAAAGAGTAAAAACAACTCTACTTAAGGAGTAAAATTTACACCAAAAATGGAGTAAATAAAGGAGTAAAATTTACTCCAAAAAAGGAGTCGTTCTGTACCTTTTTTATTTACTCCACTTTTGGAGTCAATTCGACTCCTTTGGAGACAAAATGACTTCTATATATCGGAGTAAAGAAAAGTCTTTAACTAACTTTAGAAATCAATAAAGACATTTTTCGAGTCAAAATAATTTATTATCCCTACAAGTATGGTATATTATAGCAGGAAATACAATTTGCTGTAGCATAATATAATGATATACTCTTACGCCCTATAATATTTAATGCAGTTCTAAAATGAAATTTTCATTAGAATGATATCATGAATACATGTGGAATACAATTACAAGCCTGTCAGCATGAATTGAACCTGCAGCACTGCAATTCTACCACAGCCCTCTGACCTAAAGAACCCTTTTGCCAAGAGGTAACCACAAGTTGCTGTATATATACCATGGTGGTGTCATTGGTAGTGTATTAAATAAACTGCCCAGGATGACACTAGTATTATATACATGAACTCTTGGTTACAGTAGAGCTTGATTGACTCTCAGGGCGATGGACTCTTAGGGCTTGAGGACCCTTGACGGTTAAAAAGCTGATCAGAATCACAGGGCAGCAGGTTCCATTCCCAGCACAGTATTATATAGTTATCGTTCAAAAAATTTACATTTACAGAAAGGCTTTAACCCATTAAGTGGCAGCATTCTCTCCTTAATGAGCAAAAATTGTCTGACCACATTAGACAGACAAAGTAAAAAAGTAAAGCAAATTGCCACTTAAAGGGTTAATATTCTGTTCAATGTAGAATATTTACAAGTAAAATATACTGCATGTATTAAATGTATGTAGTGTCACTGCTCAATCAAACATGTCAAGCAAGTCCATTAGTAAAAATTTAGTACAAAACAACTGTATACCACAAGTCGGCAACTCCATCCCTTGCATGGTTTGCTAATTCACAAAAATTCTCTCCAGCAAAAGAATAACATTTTCCAAATAGACCATGAAGTTCTTAGAATGCCATTAATGATTACATATAATACCACTTGTTTAGACAACTTGCCTTCTCCTGGGAAGCTTTTGTTGAATCCATATATTAATGACAATCCCTAGTAAGAAAAAATATATAAGGTTGATATATAACAGCAGCAAATTATTGATTGATGTTTGTGATGTTACTCTGAGTGTGCATCCACACCGGGCAAGCTGAAAAGTTAGTTTGGCCATGGTGGGAATCGAACCTGCGGCCTTTGGGATACTAGTCCAATACTCTGTCAACTGAGCGACATGGTCAAGTCTGTTCGAGTTGATGATATTTCGCAACTAGTTCCGAGTCTAGTTTCTTCGATATCAGTGTACAGGGGTATTCAATGATACGATTATTTTGTGTGTGTTGGTGTCATGTACTCAGGTGAATATATGATGTTTGTGATGTTACTCTCACTGAGTGTGCATCCACACTGGGCAAGCTGAAAAGTTAGCTTGGCCACGGTCACAGATTCGATTCCCACTGTGGCCAAGCTAACTTTTCAGCTTGCCCGGTGTGGATGCACACTCACAGTAACATCACAAACATCATATATTCACCTGAGTACATAACATCAACACACACAAAATAAAAATTATTGATTGATTGACAATACATTTGCTATTTTTGGTTGTTTGCATATACAAAGCAAGAAATACAAAATTCAAATGCTTTTACTCATTTAATCTAAGCATGCAATTGAACTAACATCATCCAAATGAATACAACTTTTCTGGTAAAGGGTGTTTAAAATAGAGGTGCATAATTGACCCAAAATTCATTGTCCCAAAATCTTGCTGATGCCAAGCTAGGATTTTCCATATAAATTATATACAATCACCAACGATTTGGCACAGTATTACCCCTGGGCCCTGGGTAAAAAGATCTCTGTGATTGTTTTTGTCAGTTTATACATTTCGAGACTGTCTGCAAAAGTATGCGTGATTGATCACTTGTTGGGAAATGTGCTTCTACTATATAACTCAGTCTGGGGGATTTGTTTTGGCAAGCCTGCCCATCTATTAAAGAGGCTCATGTAACCAGACATTCATCCAGGGAAAGCGAGCTATAGGCAGGTTACCTGGGTGGCTCGCCTCTATATAAGCAGCCCCTTACACGTGTTTTAGGCTGACTGATAGCCGACAGGAGGGCTACCATAGCAAGCACATGCCATACACTGGGTAATATTAGATGGGCTATTGCTGCAATGCTGTCAAATGTGACTGCATTTCAAACAGATCACATATATATTAAAGTATACATTATACATGTATATTACACAAATAAAGCCCCGTTTACACGAGCAAATTTTATTTGACAAATTTCATATGTCAGAGATATTTTGCTCGTGTAGATGATAAATTTGTGACAAATGCATTTGAACAACAAATGCTTTTGATGAAATTTGTCAAATAAAATTTGCTCGTGTAAACGGGGCTAACAACACATATAAGTAGAGACTGTAGATTAGACTTATGGACTTCTGCTAATACAAATTAATCGAATATTTTTAACTGAACGTCTAGATCGGCAAAATCGGCGGCGAAGCGACTAAAATACAGGCCTTCGTCTTCGATTTAAAAATATAACTATACAGTATATCAAGTAACTTTCCGCACACAAATAAGTCAATACACAATAAACATACCTTTGAAAACAAATTCCATGTATCTTATTAGGTCTTTGGAACTTTATATGTAGAAAATTTGAATAAATATCTTTCCCCGTTGAATGTTGCTTCCAAAGGATTGAACTTGGCGCTTGCTTGGTCTTTGTGTGAACCAGATCGAATTACTACAACACGTGATATATTCTAAGCATGCTAATTGGTTAAAACTCTGCAACTTCCACTTGTCGCAAATTATATTCAGCAGAATTCAGCAGCAGAACATTCCACACGTTCAAATTACATATTTAGGCCAGCAAATAAAAAATATAGATGACTCGCCGACAATTTCTGGCTACATTCGATCGCCGCGTGCGATTGAAGCCGATATACGGTATAATACATCAATGGCATCAATCTGACTTGGCAACATTCGAGTAACCAAAAACGTAAAATTTAAAAAAAGACTTTATATCTCGAACTTCGCGCTTTTCGCATCTGACTGTATTCAATACTTTAATAGAGTATAGCCTCCAGCAGAAATTATATATTGTAATAATTTACTCCAGATCCAGAACAATTTTATTCTTTTTTGGGAGTTGAAACGACCCCTGGAGTAAAATTAAGGAGTACAAATTACTCCATAATTTCTACTCCTAAACGCGAGTTTAGTTTACTCCTCCAGCGGAGTAAAATTGACTCCTGATGGAGTAAATTGTGGAATGCGCGCCGAAGTGGAGTAGTTTTAACTCTATTTTGGGAGTAGATTTTACTCCACTATTCTTACTCTCCCGAGTTGAGTAGTTTTAACTCCTATGGTGGAGTTAAAATAACTCCTTGAAATTAACAGTGTATGCCAATCGCCATGTTGTCCTGAATTTCTGGCCATGAGCCACAAGCATCAAGTGTTGGTTTCTGATTTACAAGTTTAACCAGTGAAATACAAATGTTTACTTTATGGAAAGAATTAAAATTTTATTACGGTGTAACACTTGTCATTAATAGCACTAACTATAGATCGTCTATGCTTGTCCGAAATACTGAAAATGACAGTCTTATTCCCGCAGTTTCAAACGATACCATATCAGGTGCTTCGAAAGCTTGAAAAAACATCCTTGTACAAAAACCGTCTAGGAATCCGTGTTAAGTCTTGCGGTTATGAGAGCTTTTAAAAATATATGGTTTTATCGGCTGAAATGAAAACATTCATTCACATGCCACTATGCCTTTGTGTATACGAATGTGGTTCAATTGTGGTGTTGCTTGTACAAATCAAAAGTATAGAAGCTTGTCAACGGACCGGAAACCAACTATCAGAAAAACTACAATTTGGATCCTGCAAAAGTGTACGAAAATAATTTTTATAGTCCACAAGGTAGTACAAGAACGTTGTCAGAAAGTTGGTAAAGGTAGATAACTAATAATATATTTTATGCATATATCTATGTCTCGCACCTTTCTGACGCCTCTCAAACAATATAATATTTTATATATATTTTAATATCCCTTAATGTCAGAAGTTAATATAAATGTTATGAAAATGAAATTCGAAATGAACAAAAAACTTAGTTCGTGTATATATAAACGATAGAACGTGTTTGTAGTTGTAATGCAAGTTTTAAAAGTGTACATGCATTACATACGAATTTCAAAGTGTTAAAAAGTCAAAGAGTCTTGTTTTGATAATTTTCAGTCAACGTGAATGGACGAGCTATGGAACAGGTATAGAGAATGCACTGTAAATTTTTTGGAGTTGAATATATAAAAGAGTGATTTTGTCGCCGTTTTTGGTGTTGACTCAACACCTTTAGAGTTGATCCAACTCCTTGAAATTTACATTGTGGTTGCGTCTATATACTCGGCTAATCATGCACGAACATTTTAATTTAGAGCTATATAAATATTCTCTAGGCCACTGATCCACTGTCTATACAGCTAATTTATTCATGAAAGCATTATTAATTTGAATTCATTACTAACTTGTCAAATGGCTATCGTTGTGAAGTAAAGTTAACGCACTGTCTTCGACTGGTAAATTTAAATAAAAATACAATTCAGTGACAGTGAAATGGCTTCAGTGTGAAGCATGTTCAGACTTTAGATAAAGTTATGTTAAATCTATTTTTCTTCCTTTATGTTTTTAGTGCAGAGTTTCTTTGAAACTGCATTTGCACCGTAATTGTGATGAGTGGCGAAAATTCACATCAGTCAGTCAGCAGTCAGTAAAATCTTTTATTGCCTCCATTACTGAAGAGTTACAGAATATTTAAATATTAATTATATAGATAAAATATAAGAAAATTGTCTTTTATCAGTTACACAATGTCGACTACAGTCAATAAAATCCTCTCACCCAAAGGGTTCAAAGAGTGAATTTTGCATGCAAAAAGAAATGTACTCATCGCATCGTAACCAAAAGTCAGGGTTCAGACTGTCCATGATTGTAGCTAAGTTCGCCGGCTTACCACCAGTAATTAACTGAACAAATTGGTCATCGTCCAAGAAATTAAGAAGTACCATTATATCTCCAGATAAGTTATTTGTGGTCCACGTCCACCAATACTCATCATATACTGTTCATACAATATAGAAGAGCATGATGTACAGGTTTGATCACACACCTTTGACAGAAGGAACAATAAAACGAATGCAAACAGTTATAGTTCTCAATTCTGATACCATCGATTTTAAGAGTACCACAGAGCAGACGAATCACATCGACTACGATATTTGAATTAATTGGAGCAAAATCCCAGATTTCATACCAAAAACTAATGTTTAAATGTTGATGTGCTTGCATATACAGCTTTAAAACCGGTTTTTTGTTTAGTTTTTCAGACCAAGCCAACTCTTCTTTTCTTTGAACAGCTTCATTTACAATCCTCTTCCATTGCTTTTTCGTCGGAAAACTCTCAGATTTTGTAAAGTCCGTCATGAAAATCATAAGGCCATACTTTTCCAAAATTCTAATGAGATCGGGAATAAATCCATCTACAGCGTCACATTTTCAAATTCCATTTTATTAACCGGCGTACAAATAATTTCCTGAAGGCTTGTATTGAGCTGGAGTTCATGATACGACCCAAAAATACAGCTTTTTCCTACTGATGTCCGTTTCTATTCTGCCCAGGCCCATTAGGCCTCTTGCTGCTGATTATGATATGCCTGGAAGTAGCGATTGTGCTATCCGACAAAATATATTTTGGATTTTCTCAAGTTTAGAGAACTGTTTCAAAGTTAAGTACCACAATTCGCAACCATACAGCAGATGCGGAAGGGCAATACTTCTCCACAGCTTAGTTGCTACCTTGGGGTTCAGGCCGCCATATATGCCGACACCCCATAGTTACCATCATATCAATTACTGCATAGCCTTTCTTCAGCACGATATCAATTGATGAGTCAAACTTGTTGTTTGCGTTCCATATGGTACCCAAATTTTTCCACGTTAGTACTTCTTTAATAGGTAGACTACCTAGAACCCAATTTCTCTCCGGTGTTGGAATTTTTCTCACTTTCTCTCCAAATGCCATAGTAACCGTTTTCTTAATGTTAAATGTAACTCTCCAAGACCGACTGAATGTGTTTAAAATATCCAAAAGATGATCTAACGCTGTTTTAAGACGGCACAATAGAGTAATGTCATCGGAATGAACCGTAATAGATATTATACAGGGAAATTCCCCACTTGCTGTTTTTTAACTCAGATATTAAATCATTGATGTAGACCAAGAATAACCAGGGGGATATGATACCACCTTGTCTAGTACCTTGTAATATATTGTATTCACGAGAATACAAACCATTTACACAAATAACCTCTTTCATGTTGGTATACCAGTTTTTTATAATACGCCACGTTTTACCAGTAATTCCCATATGATGGTATAACTTGTACAGCATTGCGTCTATCCACATGCGATCGAACGCTTTGCTGATATCAACAAAACATGTGTAAACCCAGTCCTTATTTTCACAGCAGTCTCTGATAGATTCGTCTATCATAAATGCAGTTTTTAATGCACTCTGCTCCGTTTGGTATGCCCCTTCAAGTCGGTCTATTTTACAATCAGGCACAGCTAGAATTCGGTTTAAGACCAGTTTTTGTAGAATTTTATCTAACACAGGCATTAGACTAATTCCACGATGATTATCAAATGTTATCTTTCCTGTGAAATCTTTTGGAATTGGGACTTTTACAGCTAACTTAAAGGACAGTGGGATGTGCTCCAAGCAGACAATGGCATTGAACAAAAGTACTATGTGATGTAGAAGATTAGGGCCACCATATTTCTAACCTGAAGTTCAGGCCCTAATCACAGAATAGGGCCTGACACAAAACCTATCTGAACTGTGGGATTCCCGTCCACCTGGTGGACGGGAAATCTGATTGGTTGAACAGCATCATGAAGGATTTTGATTGGTTGCAAGTTCACATAAACAACAGTTTTAAAAATAGCTCGGTCAAGGGCTCAAGGCGACAATTAATATAAAGGTCAAACGCACGTAACAAATTCCATTATCGATTTCTTCGAAGTTCTTTTCTTTTATGCTTTACGGCAGAAAATAAATCAAACAAGCAGTATTTTGAAAGTGCTTCATCAAACACACACGACGCTGAAAGAACAGCCAAACTAGTCATGTATTCGAAAGCTTGTTGTTGACAGCCAAGATGTTCTGCCAACTGGCTTCGCCGGCAAAAGTCTTATTTTTAATATCAGGTCCTACCGGCGTTGTTTTCTGAGCTACATCGCCTTCTTCGTGGTACGATTTAGAATTTAATTGTTGCTGTTGTTAGCCCGTTAGTCGTTAGAGTATATCCGCGTCCAGCAAGTTGAGACCTTGAGAAAGCTTGGCAGTCAAGCCGTGCACAGAACTGACTAATTAAATCTTTGTTTGCTGTTCGGTTAAATAGAGAAACTGAGTCTTAATTATATAAAAGTTCCTTGAATTTTTAAGTTTAATTAAAAAGCAAAATGCACACTCTGCGCGGACTGCGGACATGTTCATGAGAATACAATTTTTTTGTGCAACGAAATCTAGAACACTTGTCAATCATATTGCATGTTGTCTAAAAATAACATGTGGGCGTCCCACGGTCTAGACAGGTTTTGTGTCAGGCCCTATTTCAAATTAGGGCCTGAACTTCAGGTTACCATATTTCACATGTTCGTAACAAATATTATCGAAGTCGGGTGATTTACCATTCGGTAGGTCATAGATTATTTGATTTAACTCGTAGAGTGTGAACGGTTGGGCGAGAACAGTGTCGCTCTCATATTCGAGAAGATCCAATCGATGAATCTCAGATTCAATGTCCTTCAGGAAACCACTGTCAAAGATGTTTTCATTTTCATATCGTAAACGATATAATAATTCGCCCACAAACCAGTGATCTTATGCGGATCATGCACCATTTCATCACCTATCTCAAGATTAACGTCACTTCGTTTATTTTTCTTGGTGAGGTTAAGAAGTTTCCAAAATCTATTTTGTTCTTGCTCTAACGTACTTGACATGTTAGCATACTCTCTCAGTGAGTATTCTTGTATGCAACGTCGCTGCTCACGTCTAAGTAACCGTTTTACTTCATTATATTCCGTATACGTTTGATTGTGTCGTCCCCTAGGGCGCCCATCTTTTGCCCATTTTATATATTTTCCATTCACTTCCTTTCTTAATGTTTTTAACTTATTGTTCCAGTAAGGCTTTATGTAGCTTTTATACGAGATGTGAGGCAAAACCACGCTGGCATTCACCATGCAGTCTGTAAGTTCCTTAGCATATGTATCGATAGAGTCCGAAGTGTGTAATAAAGGGCCATCTAAGGAATCGAGTTTTCTATTTAACTCATTTTGGAACATTTCGATATTGTCTGATGTACATTTTTTCCATGCAATGCGCAGAGGTGGGGCGTAGTTTGCTAATTGCTCAGGGAATGATGTCATGATATCTAATGTAACCGTAACTGGAAGGTGGTGAGTTACATTCTCTGGGTGTATATCAAAGACCTCGGCATTAGAAATGCTCTGAAACAACGTGTTATGTACACAAATGTAATCAATAGTTGACACTATACACAGTACAGACCGAACAAGCGAGGTCAATAATCGGTTTATTATATGGCTGAACTTAGTCTGTGAGTATATGCTTTTCGCGCGAATTAATTAAATCGGCTATTGTCAGTTTCATTGGGTAACAATATACGGTAGGCATGCATGCTCAATCAAAAACAATTTGGTTGTTTGAAATTTTTATCTGTAAAGCACAATTGGGAATTTAAAAAGCAACATTTTTTTCTGTTTGCAAAGCAAAAATTTCTCGCCAGATAAACAAAATCCGGGAGACCGGTCCAGATACGGAAAATACGGACCACTGTCCGGATATGGGTTTTTGCGGACCGCTTGCATGTCAATCAGAATAGAGAATTTTGAAAAGCCATATAATAATTATACTTTATTGTATAGCCTCTGTATATCGCTGAGCATATATATTGATGCTTTTGTCGCGCTATAAGGCTTATTTGTCGCTAAAGGCTTATTTTACGCATAATCGTATTCTCTAAAATGATCATTTTTGTTGCAACCCATTAAATGGCTTGCAATTATCATATAACTCAAATCTGTCCTGTCCTGTTCGGACTTTTCACGTGACACTTACGACTGCATTCCGAACGATTCCGACAATATGACGATTGTTTGTTTTGAAAATGGCTTCGACAGGGAGTGAGAACTTCGCGTTTTAATTTTTGCTCTTTTTGATCTTGATTTGTGGGACAATGTGACACCACAAGTCGTGAAGAATGTTCACTTTTGTTGCTGTATCAATCAATCAAGCGAATGTAATGTAAATCTGTATGTACCATGTACATTTTGTTTCTTTTTAATACCAAATCTATACTAGTAACTGGTAGTACAGTCTGTAGACTTAATCCACACAGACCACACTCAGACCAAATTTGTTCCATCGTCTACTCTGTAAAATACTAGCGTTAGATTTTTTGCTTTATTGTTATTTTTTTCCTGTATGAATTAAGCGAATGTTATGTTAATCTGTATGTACATTTTCTATTTAATTATTATGCACCTATCAATGATAATCCCCAGAGGGGGCGGGGGCGGTGGGGCATATATGGGGGATTTGAATTTTTGTGCAAATTTTCGATCAAAAAACCCCACTGTGGAGCTGGAAATCTAAGTCAAATGTGATCAAATTCCCCACTGTGGGGCTGGAAATCTAAGTCAAAAGGGACAGGATTTTCAGCATATTTTGAAGCACATTTCCTTGGAAATTGCCGTATTCTTAGGATTTTTTAGAAATAAGGCAATTTCCTTCACATTTCCTTCAATCTTCCGAAATTTCCTTCAAATTTCCTTCAGATTCGAATTTCCTGACAATTTCCTTGAATTAGTTAAAATTTCCTCCGAAAAGGAAATTTCCTTCAAAATGGAAGCGAAGTCATTCGTCCCATGCTTTAAAACATGCTCTTCTTTCCGGTCACAACTTCCCTTTTCTAATATTCACTCCTGATCGCTAAATTCAAATATCCCCACCCTGGGGACGAAAATGAGGATCAAATTCCGGAGGGCGGGGAGACAAAGATCGATCAAATCACCCATATATGCCATCCCCCCTCTGGGGCTTAACATTGATAGGTGCATTACGAAATCTATACACTAGTACTGTAAACTTGCACACTTGAAATATTATGCAGATTTCAAATTTGTTCCATTGCTTACTCTTTAACATATTTGCCCACCCAATGGTATTCACAAACCATTCTCTTCAAAAGTTCAAATCCTACCAGATATTGAGGGGTGAGGGCGAGGGGGGAGGCAGGTGAAGTAACCAATGACTCAAATTCTATAAAACCTTGTACAAACATTTCTAAATATTGCTTCCAGAAAAATGGATTTAGTTTAAATTTAGATAGCAAATGTGTGATGATGACAATAGGTGAAAAATGTTATGAAATGTTTCATTTGATAATCAATAAATCTAAATATATTTTCATGTGTACTGTGCCGTGTTCCAATGTAACAATCAGGTACGCCGGGACGATAAAAAGGCAAGGGGGGGGGGGCAACACACACCAAAGGGCACCTCTATAGACTTCGGTGGAGATATAAACCTACAATTATGTGTTCACTTGCCAATGAAAGCAAACACACTTAATCAGGTCACATTCAATATCACACCTCATGATTTTGCCCAAAAAACATCACTGGAAATGTAATTTGCTAGGTAGTATTTTATAACTCAAAGGGCACTTCTACCCCTCTTGTCCCTCCTAGAAAAAGGCAACAGGAGCAGCTGCCCCTCCTGGCCCCCGCAGTTCCGGCATCCTTGGTAACTTTAACAGAACTTTGTACCTTATGACGTTGCAATTACTTTTAAAAATCGGTATCAGAATGTGGAAAATGGCATTTCTGAGCCCTAGAAATCCAGCATTTTTTGTGACCTTGCTCCCCCCTCTCCCCCCCCCCACACACACACACACACACACACACACACACACACACACAAGCATTCAACCTTAGCTATGCCACTGTTCTTTTTCTAGTTGAGGCATAGTGAATCCTGCGCTATCACTCTCTATTTTAGAGGAGTACCATGGATCCAATAAAACTAATCAATTTCTTGTAGAGTTGCACTGGGAGCCCATGTGCATTTGAGCCAAAATAATAATAATAAAGTCCACGCCCTGAATGTTGCACTTCGGTCACAGAGGTAAAAAGTGCATACAAATTATGCCAACAAACACCAGCAATTTTAACAAGTTTATAGTTAACCTCATGCACCTGCTGTGACTGACTAATGGCTTGCAAAATGTACGCAGTGCGTACCTAATTTTAACTTTAAAATGAAAAGCCCGCACAAGAAGCTGTTGAGAGACGTGTTTGCAAGTCCAAATTTGTCCTAAATTGCAACAAAATAGCGGTGCTTCCTCATGCCCATTCGGCGTTCTGATATACTGTATAGTGGCTAAAAATATTTAAATGTAAAAAATTCATCTGTTCTTTTAGTTTTACAAAACTTCATTACTCTTTAGAGTAATGTTTATAATCAGCATCTTCGGATTGGGTGTGTAATAGGAAATGTAGTGGGGGTGTAACAGGAAATGTAGGGGGTGTGCGGATCATTTCATTTTATTCATATCATGGCGTAGAACTCGTAATGCAGAACGGTCAACAATTCTTCTCCCAAGGGGGGGGGGGGGGCTAGTTAATTTGTTCTTCCCTTGTCTTTTGATTTGATTGGCTCGATGGGTCTTCGGTTCATACCGGCAAGTTACTTGAGCAATGGCGAAACGACAGGAAAAAGAATTTCGCGTTATATTTTCGCAATGTAATAAGTATTTAAATAACCACATCTTCCCTCAGAACAAACCATCAACGATTTTTCTGGCTTTAAATTAAGGTTACCTAAAACCCTACATGTTCTGAGTGGTACCCTTCGTGAAATCAGCGTTGTTGCCTCAAACAGTCGATATTTTGGGGTTTTTGACGTGCCTTTGCTGCTACAAAAGGAATAAAACAGTCGCGCTTTTGCAACCTGAAAAACCGCAGGAGCCAATCACTTTTTGGTAATTTTTGGTAAGCCTCATATTTCTATTTCAGATACAGTAACATTTTCAGGTGGTACTTTCTTTAGTCAAAAAAATCCTTTTCGCCATAAGTATTCCAGTGAAATTCTAAAGCGCATGCGTTCTGTTATAGTTGTTACATCCCCTAATATGACCGCGAATTCTACGCCATGATCTTTGCCATATAGAAACCCTTCTGTTAAATAGTGTAGCTATCTATAGTTTAGCTAGTTCAAGAACGTCGTATGAATCAGCTTCCGGAGAAATTATTCTCAAACCTCTTTTCTGAATAGATTCTATTTTCTGCGATAGACGATCCGGAATCTATTGCCAAATAGGAATAGCATATTCCAAATTTGGGCTGATCATTGTTACATAATCTTTAATGATGCTTCTCTATTTAACTAGACCGCGAGTGGTCCCTCGAAGAAATGAGGGACCGCAGACAATACAGCAAGAAACGAAATTCGCCCACTTTTCGCTCTTGTCAAATTGGCTCCGCCTTTGCATAAACATTACTATATCCAATTAAATCTATCCAATAGGAAACCGTTGATATCATGTTTATTTACAGGGTGTATAAAAAAGGTAATCGAACTTCAGCGAGTTATTGTACCTGAATTACTCATTTTTTTTCATATTCGAAAAGATGGGGCTTTTAGCTGTTGAATGATATGTTTTCATGCCAAATGGAGAAAAAATAAGCAAGTACGAGTCCGATAAAAAATGTTAGTCAGAATCGCATATTACAACGGTGAAAATGTGCGATATGACTAGCATTTTTTATCAGACTCGTACTTGCTTATTTTTTATCCATTTGGCATGAAGAACATATCATTCAACAGCTACTCTGGAAATTATTTATAGCATAATTACTACATATCAGATTTGATTGACAGGCGTATCGATTTCGACCAATGGGAATTTTGCGTTGTGTGGGAAACGCGGTTTCATTTCTTGACTGTGTTGTCTGCAGTCCCTCCTTTCCTTTCTCGCGTGCCCGGAAATCTAAAGCCGCCGAAAGGGGGGACCGCTCGCAGTGTACTAATTAACGCCAACACGGTCTAACATACGTAAGGCCCAGTGTCTCTTACACGCTTTGGTATAGATATACTCAATGTGTAACCTATATTCCTTTTAAGATCATATATCACTGAGATAAACACGTAATAATTTAAAACTTGAGACTTTTGTACAGATTTGTTTCCCAAGTTTATTGGTTTCAAGAGTAAATTCGAATCTTGCATGAAACTACAACCTCGTTCCCAGGGCTTTTCCCTTTTTGTCATTGGGAAGGCGGGAAAAGGCCCTGGCACCGGCCGGTCTTCTATATATTCTGATTGGTCAATGACAAGTACATTATCATGCAAATAATGCAATCTTGGATTAATTTATTCAAACTTTGGGATAGATTAACATTTTCACGCAAGGAGTCAGGAGCGTCATTATTAAAATACTTTGTCTGTCTAAGAAATATTTTTTGGCAAAATCTGTGGCAAAATAGTTAAATTCGATAAGATTTGTACACGATTTGTCGAAGGTTAGTATTATTGTTTGTTTTAAACTGTGAGAGATCGAGAGAGAAGATTAATTGTGTACTAGAACACACCTCTGAGGCTCTGACCGAGTATTTAAGCCAAAATGTGCCTTCATTGGCTTCGTATAGCGTTAATGTTTATATTTATAAAACTAAAGTCTGGGTTTATAAACTGAAACATAACCTTTAGTTTTTTATATTCTTCATAGTGGAGTTTAAATTGGCCTAATTTATAGTTAGTTACCACTAGAAATGCGACGATATTAATATTTTGTTATATCATATAATTATGCAACAGTGTTTACAACTTTTGAATATTAATATGTGATTTGGTTTTGAATGAATGAATGAATGAATGAAGACTTTATTTAACGAGAGTTACACATGCCAGTTTGCACTGATAAATTTGTGGCTCTCAATAGATTATACAAATAACATTAAACCTAAGTACTAAATTTATAAAATACTATATATACATACGTCTAAAATCCGAAGATTATATAGTAAAATGATCGATGTTTTCATAGCTCTCTTTAAAAAGCTGTTTCATGCTGTGTTTAAACGAAGCCACCGTCCGCTCTCAATGGATTATACAAATAACATTAAACCTAAGTACTAAATTTATAAAATACTATATATACATACGTCTAAAATCCGAAGATTATATAGTAAAATGATCGATGTTTTCATAGCTCTCTTTAAAAAGCTGTTTCATGCCGTGTTTAAACGAAGCCACCGTCCCCTTATCACGCACAGTCTTAGGCAGCTGGTTCCATTGTTTTATGGTCGAAACGGCAAATGTACGACCACCTTCGGTTTCTCGCTTGTATTTAGGGCATAGGAAATTTAAATTGCAATATCTAGTGGATCTACTATTTACACTAGAATTCAGTTTCAGCATATCATCTAAATAGTTCGGAGAATCATTCTTTATACGTTTATAGGCTGTTGTTGCTTTAAGAATCTTCACTTCGTCGTAGTATGGTATCCAGTTTAGTTGCTGAAACATGTTAACTGTTCGCGCTGACATGTCCAAATCTAAAATAACCCGAGCTGCTCTTTTCTGTAACCTAAAAACTCTGTTTAGGTTTTCTTTCGAGGTTGTTGTCCAAACAGCTGAACCATAGAAAATGATAGGCTTTATCATAGCATTATAATAAAGACAGCGTTCTCTAAATGGGAGGCAACGCTTTATTTTACAGAGTACCGCGATTCGTTGAGATAGTTTCTTACATATATTGTCAACATGTATATCAAAGCTCAGTTCATCATCGAGCGTAACTCCAAGCAATTTAAACGAGGTGACTTGTTGGAGTTTTTTCCCATTCAGCATAAGATCAATATCAAGTGTGTCCATTTTCTTCTTCAGGCGCTTTCCGGCGATCAGAAGAGTTTTAGTTTTCTCTTCATTCAAAACCATATGATTAACTCTTGACCAATCTGCAAGATTTGTAATGTCCTTCTGTAATTCAACCGTAATTGACTGAGGGGCAGAAGAGTAATCATGTGCATAGCTAAGCGTCGTGTCATCAGCATAAATATCAGCAACAGTATGTTTGATCTGATCTGGAAGATCGTTAATGAATATAATGAATAAGATGGGCCCAAGTATAGATCCTTGGGCACACCACATTCGACAGGCCTAGAGGATGACTTAACACCGTCCACATTGACATATTGGGATCGATCAGAAAGATAACTTTTGAACAATTCCAGAGACTGGCCATGTACTCCATATGAAAAAATCTTTTTAATCAAGATGTTATGGTCTATTAGATCAAATGCTTTTTTATAATCAACGAGGACCAGACCGCTAACACAGTTTTCATCAAGGTTGAAAAGCAACTGATCCAAAAGCCTTATTAATGCAGTTTCAGTGGAAAATGACTTCCGGAAGCCGGATTGTAATCCATACAACAAGGCGTTCTCCTTCAAGTGAGCACGCAATGATGACGCAATGTGCTTTTCAAACACCTTAGACAAGACGGACAACACTGATATGGGCCTGTAATTTGAGGCTTCACTTTTACAACCTTTACCCTTGTAGATAGGTGTAACGCTCGCCTCTTTCCACTTTGTTGGAAATTTTCCAGTTATTATGCAAGAATTAATTATTCTGCTGAGCGATTCTGAAATTACAGGGGCAGCTAACTTGAGAAGCCGTATACCTACACCATCTGGGCTGGTAGCTTTATTTACAGGAATTTGATCCAGAAAATCATTCACTTGCTCAGGTGTGATGTGGGGGATTTCGAGCTGCGAGTGAACTCGTTGCTCTGGGGAAATATAGTCTCCAGTTATATTAATTAATTCAGTGAAAATTGATTTCGGTAGTTCGATAAAGTATGAGTTAAACATCTCAACAATTTGATACTTGTCTGATACTAACTTGTCACCGTCATTCAAACGCCATGTAAAATTTTCCTTGACATTCACGCCGTCGAGTTCGCGAATTAGGCGCCATAATTTTCTAGGATCGTTTCTATTTTCGGCCACTTTATTCTTAAAATACGTTTGTTTAGTTTTTCGTAACAAATTAGTGACTTTATTTTTCGCCTTTCTAAAAGCTGACCAGTCGGAATCAGATTGTGATTGTCTAGCTCTGTAGAGTAGCTTGTCTCTTTTCTTTAGCACATCTTCAAGAATTTTGCTAAACCAATCAGGTTGAGACTTTCTTTTAACTCGTTTTTGTCTCAATGGTGCGTGTTGATCAACAATACTGTTAAAAATATTATACTATGCATAAACAATATCATCGGGGTCATCAAAAGTGAATGCACAATCTCATGGAGCGGAAGACAAAGACTCACAAAAAGCTTGTTCATTCAGATTCCTTAAGTCCCTATACGTAATGTTATGATGCTCACCTTTGTTGTCTTTCAATTTTTTGTATATTCTTACAGCAACTATACAGGGTGTCTAAAAAAAAACCAAAATCATTGAAATTGACGTATTGTTCGATATTCAATGCCCTAGCACTAAGTTAATCCCACGAGTGCATAAAAGATTGACATAACTGCTATAATGAATGGTAATACTCAGCGTAAACTTGTTATGTCAGGCATAAAGTACTAAACCCACGAATGCATATTACGCATATTACAATTTACGAAGCATTTTTAAATTCCCATGAGCAAACAAACGTTCACTTTACAAAGATATTTTAATTTTTAAAACAAATTAATCACCCTGTCAAAATCCTTTGTGTTACGGCATTGAAATTCGAACAATACGTTATTTCAATGATTTTGGGTTTTTTTGAGACACCCTGTAGGTAAATGATCAGACATACCTGATGACAACACTTCTACCTGTCTGATTCGTTCTGGGTGACTGCACCATATATGATCCAGACATGATTGCGACATAGGTCTTGTGATTTGATTTACCAACTGGGACAGATTAAGATTCAACAAGCTCTTCATTAGTTTTTGTTTACAAAACTTTTCAGGTGTCATATAGTCAACGTTAAGATCCCCCATGATAATAAGCTCTTTATTACGCAGTTTCGCATTCTCAATATTTCTACCAAGTTTCTTGTCCATATCTACATTCGATGATGGCGGGCGATATACCCCAGCAACGAACAATGATCTATTAGATTTGTGCGGGTTAACTTCTAGCCGCAGTGCCTCTAAGTCATCGTCCTCCATATCGATTCGCCGTTCAACTTCCAGATCTTTATGTACAAACGCCATAACCCCTCCGCCGAGCTTACCTATTCTGTCCTTACGAAATAATTTATAGTCCGTGATAGCGTATAGGTAGTCAGGAGTCTTGTTCGTGCAAAATGTCTCCGATAAAATCAGAATATCGATCTTGTTAGAATTGTTCGAATTTTCCGTGAGACTAATCTTTATTTCGTCTTGTTTGGTTGTTGTAAGCCGTTGTATATTCCAGTGGCAGATCTTTAAACCTTTAGATATTGGCGATTGCAAATTTAGTTGAACAGGGCCAGGGTTTAGAGCAACATCACCGCAGAGTTTTAGTAACGTTACCAACAACATATCCCTTGTACGATGAATAACTTTGGTCGCTTTAAAATTTGCCGTAGAATCAGCGAGCTGAGACGATCGTCGACGTTTTAGATGACAAATGTCGTTGAATACTGGACGAGACAATTCACTAACAGCCCGAAAGTTCTCCCTGAGGTTGTACACTAGCATAGATTCATTATTGTAAGCCTTGATATTAAGCAGAATCAATAAAATTGAATAAAATATAACTATAACAAGCAGCTACGAACAGACCGCCATATTGTCATATTAAGATACTATTACATTTCAGATACTATTACATGTTGCTCAATTTTACCATAAATTGTGTTAAAAAAGTGATTGCTCATTTGGATGATGTTACAGTTTTCTGATGTGTTTTGTTAGGATGATATTAGAACAATTTCAATATGAAAGTGCAGGTGTCTTTAGACATGAGCCATAATGTATATATCAAAATACTGATAAAATCCGTTTCCAGCTTAATTGTATCTGCATGGTTGCAGACAAAGTTGTGCAATGGTGGGCTTATGTCACATACTCGTATGTAATTCCATGTGCATGCTTGTACTTTGATGCCTCAAGAGATGCTTCGAATATGTAATAAAGGGCTGTTCGCAGGAGTTGGGCTGTCTGGCCTTAAATTGCATTGTTTTTTATGATATTTTAAGATTGTATTCATATGGCTGGACCATCTTGCCATTGCCACAATGTCTGATGTTCAAACAGGCTTTAGAATCAGGTTACAGTGCATGCTTGAAAATATGCAACAATTTCACTGCTAATAATATTCCAGAAAATCCTGCCTCTTGGGCAGATCTGGACTGATTTGTCGGGAGGGGGGGGGGGGGTTTGGAGGTTTTCTACTTGTGATCGGGCAAGGGGAGCTAGCCAAGGGTGCTGGGTCAGAGTCAAACTCATGTGAACAGCTTCTAAGTCCTAATTATATTGATAAATTATGTACACTTTGGGATGGTAATGCAATTTGTAAAATATTCCACATTTTATTTAATAAAAATTAATTATATATATTGTTTTTGTTGTTTATATTAACACCTTGGACAGTGTATATTTACACCTTTGGACCCTGTAAATAAACACCTTTGGAGGGTGTACCCATTCTAAGCCAAAGATGTTTAAGAACAATTATCAAGGTATTTGCATGATAAAATATATTTGAAACTGCTCTCCATATACATGTAATGCATGGTTCAATTCTTGCTTTTACCAAGTAAACCCAGGGATTTTCAATGTCCCCCTCCTCCCGTAGAATTCACTTGAAGTGACTGGGGCAAGGTAGCTATAAGTATAAGTAGGTATATAAAAGTCAATTAAAATTTACAAATAGAGCTTTTTGAATATAGACCATTGCAAATTTTTTTTAATTTGTTTAACCCTTTATAGTGGCAATGTGCCCTACTTTAGTATATTACTCCGTCTGGTGCCAGACAATTTTACTCAAGGGCAGATTGTAGACTTGCCACAAGTCGACCTCGAACGAAACGTCGGCTCACGCTCGCTGCTTGCGTTTCGTTCGAGGTCGACTTGTGGCAAGTCTAGGCAGAATGCTGCCACTCAATGAGTTAATATATTCTCAGAACAATTACAATCAAATTTAATCTATTTTGCTGGCAAAATTGCCTTGGAGGGGGTCCTTGATTTGTTGAGTCTTTTTTTTGGGGGGGGGAGGGGTGAGTGTTGTAAAAAACAGAATAGCAACTGGTTTCAGAATAGGAAGAATTGTTGTAATATAGGTAATATAATTCTAAGACAAATCATCCAAAGGAAGCTATCATTCTAGGTCTTGTAGTGTATGTTACAACAGGGATGGATTTACTAGGGGTGCACCTCCCTGGCCAGAGGGGGTGTTATTTTTCAGGATAAAGCAAAAAATTATTACAGGCAAAATGAGATACAGTAATTTGAGTTATGACATGATGTAAGCAAGCTGTGTACAACAATTACAATTCGAATACAGTAGTAAAGCAAGACTTTGCAGTAGTGAAGCAAGTTGATTGGCGGGCGGCATACATGACCGACACAACTCGGCACCAGAGCTGGCAGAGCACCCCCCCCCCCCCCTACCAGATCATGCTGGGCCCATCCCTGTGTTGCAAAATGTATTTTCTTCATAGTCAGGCATTCACATGAATGAAGATTAGAATTTCATCATGTTATATAGTCTTAAATATTTCCTTTTCCCGCCTTCCCAATGACAAAAAGGGAAAAGCCCTGGGAACGAGGTCTCAATTTCCGGTATGCGCGAGGCGACATGCGCGGCTTCAAAAACTTTAAAGGTTCCGACGCGAGTTGCCCTTCTATTCATTTCTTATTCTATGAGGGTGTGAATAACTTTTTTCTTCACTTTAGTATTTAAGGTCAGCGGTGTTCACCATAAATTTAGGTCGATTGTGACGTCAAAATGACGTAAATTTGGCCAAAATCCGCCATGTTTTTGGTCACACATTTTTGACTGACGAAGTATTGGAGCACGATCTCCAGATATATTAAGTATAGCTCAGTGGTCTGAACTAATTAACTATATAGACATAGGACGCGTGGTTATTGTTATACTATACTAAATATATTATATATATTAATATTGTAATACTATACTAAATATATTCACAAATATGCTTCTAGTACTTAGATATTACAATCACCTTGGCTAAACAGCCTCGCCGTTTCTATCCGAATTGAGACGTCCACTAATGTCGCATATTGAAAACGAGGCTCAATAACTATTAAAAGTGTCGCACTTTAATTCCGAAATGATGTATTATAGTTGAAATTTAGAATAGAAATTTTTAGAACATTACTAAAACTTTTCTAGACACAAAATTATTTAAAATATAATAGTCCCTTACATTGGGAAACAATGAAAAGGAGGATGTAATAGGTTATAGGTCAGCCGTTATAATTAAGTCTGTATCTAATATAAGAGTTCCCATCCAACGCAAAGATGACTTCTACATTAATAATGAATTTAAATGATGAAACAAAAAAAATTTGGCACAAAAAAGTTGGATCAGTTTCATCTCTCCAACAGCCCAAATTTTTCTGTTCATGTTTGCATTTATTCTATGTGTTGCGAAATCAAAATTTTTTTGTAAAGTGGAAACATGACAATGAAATGATGAATCTTTTTGGGCGCCATATTTTCATATCGGTGTTGGTTGCAAACTGTGTCTCTGAATATTCTCGTTTTTATGATCAGAATTTCTGTAAGAACCGAAGCATTTAAATATTCAATAAAGAAAGACTCGAGGGAACAGCTGCGTAATATTTTATCGAAATTTGAGCGCACGTGTGACCGCACGGGGAAAAATCAAAAGCTCAAATCATGTCTATGAAATGCGAGTATTGCAGCAAGATGTTTTCAAAGAAAAGAAATTTAGTGCAACACAAAAGAACACACATTGGAAACAAACCTTATGAATGTGATGTTTGCAACAATAGATTTTCACAGTCTAGCAACTTGGCGGTTCATAAAAGAACACACACTGGAGACAAACCTTATGAATGTGATGTTTGCAACAAAAGATTTTCACAGTCGAGCAGCTTAACGGTTCATAAAAGAACACACACAGGGGACAAACCTTATGAATGTGATGTTTGCAACAAAAGATTTTCACGGTCTAGCAACTTGGCGGTTCATAAAAATACACACACTGGAGACAAACCTTATGAATGTGATGTTTGCAAAAAAAGATTTTCAGATCCCAGCAGTTTAGCTCAACATAAAAGAACACACACTAGAAACAAACCTTATGAATGTCATGTTTGCAACAAAAGATTTTTAAAATCAAGCAACTTGACGGTTCATAAGAGAACACACACTGGAGACAAACCTTATGAATGTGATGTTTGTAACAAAAGATTTTCACAGTCTAGCAACTTGGTGGTTCATAAAGGAACACACACTGGGGACAAATCTTATGAATGTGATGTTTGCAACAAAAGATTTTCACAGTTGAGCCACTTAGTGGTTCATAAAAGAACACACACTGGAGACAAACCATATGAATGTGATGTTTGCAAAAAAAGATTTTCAGATCCCAGCAGTTTAGCTCGACATAAAAGAACACACACTAGTGACAAACCTTATGAATGCGATGTTTGTAAGAAAGAGTTTTCACGATTGAGCCACTTAGCTACCCACAAAAAAACACACACTGGAGACAAACCTTATGAATGTGATGTTTGTAACAAGAGATTTCCAGAATCACGCAAGTTAACACGACATAAAATATCAGCACACAAGATTGAACAGAGTTTTGAGTGTCGTATCTGCAAGAAAACATTCACACAACGAAAAGGTCTCAAACGTCACTGGAGATTACATTCAAGAGATGGATTTTTGTTGTGCAACACTTGTGGCAGAGAAATTAGTCAGTCACAAGGACAAGGACATGCTAATGAGATACTGAGTGGTGATCATTTTGAGTGTGATAAATGCAACAAACAGTTCCCTGATATTCAAATTTTAAATCAGCACAAGGTCAAGGAGCATGGTATATTCTGCCAATGTGATTTCTGTAAGGAATTGGAAGCAAGAGAAGCAACTGGTATTGGTTATATCTGTTGTGTCTGCGATGCCGAGTTTGAAATTGCCACTGAACTTGAAGATCATATGAATATGCATGACAATATGCTGCTCCAGGCAAGATAAATTAAAATATTTTGTGTTAATATGTTGTTTTTGAAATTTATGCCGGTCGTCGGACATTGTCCGGCCAGGTTTTACCTTCTATCCGATCAAAACTTTTTATGACTGACATGTGACTGATTTAGGCTGGTCAAATCCCAAATCTCAAAAAATTGTTTAACACATTTTTTATTAATGAAACCAACAAGAAAGCAATGTTAGACAGCCCTTCACCACTAGTATTATTTCTTGCTGCATTAAGCCGTAAAATTTAATTGGAAATTAAAGTTATCTATATTCTATAACGTCTATAACCTGAACCATGCATTGGGACTTGTATATATATATTAGGTTGATTGATTGATTGATTAGATGCATTGCAGTGCGGACTAACAAAAAAAACAACATCGTGCTATAAATATCCAAAATACAATATTTTACTTTGTCCATTGGCCGGGAAAAAATTGACAAATGTTCGACCAATTTTTGGTTTGGCCAGACATTTGTTCATCCGATCCTAGCG